GACTAATTTAATAAATCCCGATTTTAGCATTGATACCTGTTCTTGTATAGTAGGACGTGCAGTGTGTTATTGGGGAAATTTTCCAACTGTCCTCGTGACTACGACTGCATAGTGGCACTGCTGAAAAAACAACTGCCTCGTTGCTTTGTAGAAAAATATAAAGAAACAGTGGGACAATACTATGGTAGCTGATTGGTATCATGTCGTGATATCGTGTTATCCGGACAAAGTTTCCCTCATAGTACACTGTATAGCGTATGTCCGTCTTCATTAGCCCAGTCGGAGCAGAACGAAATGAAATGAAATAGAGCTTAACGTCCTACTGTTCTGCTCCGACTGGGCTAATGAAGACGAGCTTACGCCATACAGTTTGCTATGAGGGAAATTTTGCTCGGACAGCGGCGCTACGGCCTACTCTTATATCGAATTCCAACTGCCAAGGGGTCCTTTACGTGCACGCCAATGCATACACGGAACCTCAGGTTTTCGTCCCATCCGAACGACTAGACGCTGTCCTCGTCAAGTCCTCCTTGCTGCACCCAGACAAAGAGACATCACCCCGGAAAATCTCGATCAACTTTCTCGGCTAACACGGGTAGCGAACCCGCGACCTCCAGGCTAGCTAGCCGGCGTATTACTCACTTAACCACCGTGACTCCCGGAGCAGAACAGTAGGACGTTAAACCCCATTTCATTTTCCTACATGTTTGCACCAATCGGACTACTGAAGATAGGCATACGCTATGCAGAGTGATATGACGGAAATTTGCAATGGACCGTGGCATTTCTTCATCGAATTTCAACTATGAAGGATTCCTTTATGTGAACGCCAATGTTTACACAGGAGCTTGTTAGGGTTTTTTTTTCCCATCTAAACAACTAGACGCTATTCTTTTCCGGGCCCTTTGTCCTGCAATACCGACAGGGAGAACCACGCTGAAAAATCCGGGGAAACTTTTTTGACCAACACCAGTATCATACTCCTCGCAGTGTTTTGTTTGATTAAAGTTAATCCCACTTAACACTGCTGTAATGGAAGCTAATTTCTGTTCCAAATTATGACTGGTCAATGGTCCGATTAACAACCAATAGCTAACTGTGTAACAATATCATTACGCTTTAAACAGAGCTCCAAATTGGACCAAACATGTTTACTGTAACGTTACGTCATGACTCACGATTTTATTACGCCCAATTAACCAGTGCATAGCAGAATATTACAGAAAAACTAATTGCGTGACAAAAGGGATACAATGTAAACAAGACTGTTTGGAGACGAATAATACTTTCACCGTTTTTATACGCCCACATTGAAATGTGGTCGTATATTGTCGTCGCCCTGGTCCGTCCGTCTGCCGGTCCGTCCGTCCGTCGGTCCTGCGTCCAAAATTGTTTGTGGACGCTCTAGAGGCCAAAGTTAATATCCGATTGACTTTAAATTTATACACAGTGTTTAAGGTCATCATCCAACGAAAAATCGTATTGATTTTCAACGATTCCCAATAATTACTGCCAGGGTTATGGCCCTTGATCACTTTGAAAAATCTTGTGGATGCTTTATGACCATAGTTATCATCTGATTGATTTTATATTTATACACCGTGTGTACGCCTATCTATAATCGTTTTGATTGACTTTGGCTTAATACACAGAGTTTAAGGTCTTGAAATGAACAAGTATATTGATTTTCAAGGGTTTTATAACTTAAACAACTAAATCCTTGATATTCAATGTTTTGTATACTAAACGTTAGCAAGGGCCAAACAAATTCTAATGATTTTCTGATAATTACTTAATGAGTTGTTACTCTAAAATCAGACTTTAGTGTATTATAAATGTTTCATTACCGACAAAAGTAAAACTATGAGACAACTCTTGATGACTGCCCGGACGATTTAGCTGCTGTGGGCGTATGTTTCGTTGCCTGGCAACCTATCTTTAATACCTTAAATCACTGTCCAAAGTGTGAGGGAAGATCCCAGATTAAATGAAGGGCTGTCATGTTGCTGTACTTGGGATAGATTAAATTGAACGGGAAGAATAGACACAGACCCTCAAAAACTCAAGTATCAGACGCCAATCCAGCAATGGCCAGAGAGGGATTTCTCGGTCCATTGCTTCAGGAATATGCACCAGGATCAGTGTACATAATCATGGTATTTACAGGAATATGGTCGATAACCTGACATCACGACGTTTTAACCCGACAATACGACACATTTACTCGACATTGCGTCAGTCACGACTACTACTACTACCATGTTCCTCAAGCAACGACTGCGAGTTTCACAACATCTGGCCGTTGCTTGTTTACTTCACAATTATTCTCGAACTTATAGCTAAGTTATCTACAGACACGTGAGCAGTAGCATCCAATCAGAGGTTGTGACATCGCGACCTCCACGGAAACCTTGACATTGAATGAACCTTGAACTTTGCAACTCGGTTATCACAGGTAGACATTTTAGCTTGAAAGCGCGAGACTTGGTATTCGCGACGATCACAAGTTGGGCTTGCACGATAACCAATCGAAATTAGTGCCGCAATATGCAGGGTATTACGTGAAGGCCTTGATAAGATGTACGTAGTTAAAGCGAGATCAAGCCTTCTATTGAAGATGTACTACTACTAACTATAAACGTCTATCTCAGTGGCTTGTTATTATACATCTTCAATAGAAGGCTTGACTTCTCTTAACTCCGTACATCTTATCAAGGCCTAATTTCGATTGGTCTAGAACCCAGCTCTAGACATCTCATATTCTTCGATAGAAAATATCATCGCGAATACCATGTCTCGCACTTTATTTTACCTGAAATGATTACCAGTGATATTCGAGTTGCAAAATTCACTGTTCGCTCAATGTAAAGATTGTTGGAACTTTTCCACTTAAGCCTCATCTTTCCGTTAACATTATGCAATGGATCACTTCACATCTTAGTTCAAACCTTTCTAATTTACCTTTCTGTTCTTCTATTATGGTAGTAAATTGGCTTGTCTATGGTTTTCCGGTTTGTTTGGGGTTGTTTTTTTTTTGGGGGGGGGGGGTATAAAAGGTTAAATATAAAAAGGTCGTGAACTATCAGAAAAGTTTCAACGTCTCTAAACGTATGTACATGTATTCCTTTATGACATTGTGTTTGTATCACGACCTCTGTTTGGACAACGTTATAGTTCACGTGTCTGCGGTAAAGGGAAATAATGTACCTAAAAGATCGGGAATTTCAGATAAATCTGGTAACGGCTAAATGTTATAATACTGGTCGTCGTTGCTATAGGATTATGGTTATTACATGGGCTTGTTTCATTGTAATTTACCCTTTAATTTAATACCAAATATATTTACACATGAACGGTCATTAAAGGTCTAACAATGTTATTGGTGTTCAAACAACAAAATAATTACTAACTGTAGCCTATCTGATAGCGACTTACATGTAGATTTACTGGGGATATGACAAATAATAATAAGCTGATAAACATAAATACACAACTATATAATCCATTACAGCTGTACAACTTTCTGTCAACGGGGACCCTTCTTTACTAGATTAATATCGGCTTAAATAGCGGTATAATAATTTGGACAGCGAAATTGTGATCATGCTTGATAAAATGCATTTTATTTGTCTTATCGGCATCTAATAAATCGATTAGTAAGGGAGATAGGTTCAGGGTGTTTCGAAAATCGCGTACAAAATTTCTACTATGTTAGATGAGTGGACAGCGGTGCCCGATACTCTGAACCTTGATTCTTAAGTTGCGGGTCCGACGGGGGTGGCAGGTCCGACAAAACGTCGAAATTTCCAGTTCTTAAGGGAGAAAGGAGGCGTCGGGGGTCTTCTTAAGCAGTGTTTTTGGCGACATCTGAAGTTGGTCTACTTATGCAAGAAAGTTGATTGTTGTACGCAAAAGTCAAATTAAACTCGAAATTTCAACGTTTTTTCCACTCATCTAGCATAGTAGAAATTTTGTACGCGATTTTCGAAACAAACTGAACCTAGCTCCCTTACTAGATATGATTCATTATATTTAAAATTCATTCAGATATATAGTGTAAACCAGGTCAGATGTATTTTTATTGGCTAATTCTATTCTTGTCCTAGGATACGTTTCACCAAGGGTACAGGTGTCCATAAATAAATGAAATGAGCTGCTCCGACTGGGATAATGAAGACGGGCATACGCCATTCAGTGTGCTATAAGGGAAATTTTGCCCGGGCAGCGGCACTATGGACTACTCTTATATCGAATTCCAACTGCCAGGGGACCATTTACTTGCACGCCAAGGAGAAACCACGCCGGAAAATCCCGATCGAACACGCGAGCTCCAGGCTAGTGAGCCAGCGTCTTACCCATTTAGTCACCGTGACTCCACGGGTGTCCATAAACTCGCATTCTCTTTAGAAAAAAAAAGCCACCAGCTGACAAAGGAGTAAACCATGCATTTCTAGCCACTTGGCACGTTAAATCGAGCTTAATTCTGTTGGCAACTACTTACACCCAGGTACAAAATTATGTGTAAATCGGGCGTTACTCTACTTAACCCTAAAGCCCCCATCACACCAAACAAGTTCTCAAAAACGGCCTACTCCAACCTAGAAAATCATAAAACGGGTTATGATCGGAAGGGAATGTGTAAATAATCTCTATAATACGATCCTAGTTATTTCATAAACTGTCCTCAATACGTCCATCTGGTCTGTACCCCGTCTACATAGACTTTATATCATGTTCAGATCGGGTAATTTTGTCATTTCCAAACGTCCAAGCCGGTCTGTAGTCACGTTTGATATTCGGTAACTGATGAAATGCTCGTCGCTGCAAATGTAATCAGTCTCTCATGGGTAATTTTTTTTATTTGACCTAATAATTATATCACACGATCTTATAATGGTCTATGTTGACAGTATCCGATCGCATAGCTGAACAGTGTCTAGTCCGTCGGTATGGACGAAAATCCGAGGTCCCGTGGACACTTTAGTATGTGCATACTAAACAAACAAAGAAGTACTTGTACTTTATCTATATATATATATATATTCATATACTACATGTATACAGACCTAATTTTAGATCAGGTAAGTCTTTAAAAAACGTTTAATATTTTATTTAAAATGTACACTAATTCGAGAGTTTTGATATTTTGAAAGTGCTAAAACTAAAATCAAAGAGTCGTATTATCGAACTCTGATTGGAACTAATAAGTGTTCAAATCACCGTTTAGAGTAACGTTTGTATTATGCAAGGCCGGTTATGGTTAAACAATATTTAGATAGTTCAAATGTTTATTCACTCGAAGGGGCAGTTTTGCGGCTAGATAAGCAGTATAACTTTAAATGCCATGACACAAAAAGCATATTGGTCGGCAACTAAACGGTTTTCAATAAACAGACAACGCAAATTTAAATATTGGGTTTTTTAAAGGCTTTCCCTCTCCCCTAAAACCCATATAGGCTTACACCTATATTTTGATTATGTTAGCTATAAACAGTAATAATTTACAGGGATTCAGCACACTTCAATTTAACAGTTTACCAATTTCGTTTTGGAGACCTTCACCTGTGAAACCTGAATACACGCATTTTGGTTTTAACGTTATTTATAACTAATCAGGCAAACAAGAAATAATTATCACCAACTGAATAGCCTTACGTAAGTAATTTAAAACATGTCACAATCTTGATGTGTAAGTTATGTCCCACATACAGATTCGAAATGATATGGAATTTCATAGCACGTCAGCTCCAACCGGGATATATTACGGCAAACGTACAATATGCACTAGTTTGGTTGTAGACTGTAAATAAACAATATTAGCTCTCACAAAATATGAGCAACATAGGGTTCCTTTGTAAACTATAATTATATGTTTATATATTATCATATGGTAAGCTAAATCTCTATGGTCTTTAGGCGTCGAGGTTTACATTATGAAGAAAGCGTTAGGTTAAATAAATAGCCTAATATGTATTGTCTTTTACGCCACGGTGGCTCAGTGAGTAAGATGTTGGCTCGCTAATCTGGAAAACTTGTGTTCGATCCCGGTGTTTGTCGAGAAGTTCAACGGAATTTGAAATAAGAGTAGCTGGAACTCCGCTGTCCGGTTAAAATTCCTTCCATTGCACACTATAGGCCTATATGACTTATGTCCATCTCATTTCATCTGAACTGTTTGCTGTCATGGAGGTCCTCGGGTGAGCGTTCAGTCATAAGCGTTTACGTTTCGTTATCCACTGTAAGTAATTCACGAAGAGTTACATGTATATTTCCTTCCTGTTAGAATTGTCGATTACGGATGTCAGAGTAGAGCTGACGTAGATACCCTGCCATCAAAACGAGGAACGCACAAACTGTTAAATGCTATGTCCCACTATTATCTCTTTTGTTATAGTTATTGAATTATTTTTCATTAACATCTTTTTATACAGTCACCCCGAAAGAGGATGCAGACCACTGGTGTTATTGTATTGTGCATATTAATGGTGGTAAATATAATAAGAACCATTCATGGTGAAAAGATTCGGGTGGTTGACCTGACGTTTACTTTGACTACATCAACCATCTATTGGCCAGGCAATCACGATTTTAATTTTACCATTCTGTATAGAGGACAATCGGGTAGCTATTGGTAAGTCTTAAGAGAGAAGTTCCCTCATTTCACAAGGAATCCGTTGATAACAAGCCGTTGTCATGCAAGATACGCGAACATTTTGCAAGAGATGGACAGAAAATAAGCAAAAAAAAAAGCGGTTTTTCATACAATCAGGGGCCATAATCCAGAAAGTTAGGGTCCGATACGTGCAAGTATTGAAAGGAGCCCTTTGGGGTATAAACACATATATTAAGTTTCATTAAAATCGGATGAAATTATCATCGAAAGGAACCGACGGACGGACAGGCGGACGGGGCAAGGACAACATACCTCCACTAGAAAATGTGTGCGTATTAAATGTTTAGTGACGGGTGTCATACACGAGTCAGTACATGCTTTTACTCTTTTCCGAACACTTGACATTACTTCATGTTTGACAAGTTGGCAAATAGCTAACAAACCTTTGCTTGTAAAAGTATACACATAAAACACAAAATACATTAAGGTGTCTGGACATGATTGCTAAATTTGATTAATAGGATAAGGAATTTGACTGTTGGCGAGAATCCAGGGAAGATCATATAATTAAAACATACATTTCGTTATTTTTAGGTATGAAAGTAATTATTTTTCGACTCCCGAGCATGGTGGAACACATTTAGATGCACCGGCTCATTTTTATAAAGGTAAATGGCGAACACACGAGATTCCAGTTGAAAGACTTATTGGTCCTGGTGTTATTATTGACGTCACATCAAAGGCGACAGCTGACCACGATTATAGGGTACAGATTTCTGATTTACAGGCTTGGGAATCCAAATATGGAAATATACCGCAAGGAGCAATTGTATTGATGAATTCTGGTTGGGCGAAAAGATATCCAATCAAAAAAGAGGTTTTCGGTACTCTGAATATATCGAACCCGACATATTTCCATTTCCCGGCATTTCATGAAGGAACTGTTGAATGGCTTATTACCAACAGAAATATAAGCATGGTGGGTGTGGATACTCCATCCGTCGATTATGGCCAATCCAAAACATTTCCAGTTCATCAGGTACTAGGAAAACATAACGTTCCTGGTCTCGAAAATATCGGATATTTGGATAGCATTCCTGAAAAGGGTGCAACTATATTTATTGGAATAATCAAGTTATTTGATGGTAGTGGCGGACCAGTTCGTATTATTGCAACATATGACGCCGATGCATCATCAGCGAACGTCATTGGCTGTATCAATATTATAAGACTTTTCTCCATTTTTACCTCATTCTTTATCTTTGGATACTAGCTCGAATACTAATTGGATACTTTTCTTCTTAATAGAGCCATTGTGCACCAGAAGGACAACAATTATTTTACTTATTAACATTTAACTAAAACAGGGGCTGAAATGTGTTCTTTAGATAATAATTTAGCCAATTAAAACTTAACTTAAATGACACCTTTAGCCTCAATGGATAGAAATGGGTTATTCTTCAGCAGCTGGCTGATGTGTCAAAGACAGTATAAATGGCAATGTTACATCAGTAGAAAATGATTTAAAATTCAGATGACATATAAAATAATCCCTTACTTTTCATTTGCTGTCTTCAAAACAAGATGTCTAACAGTATGTTTATCATTCTGTTCATTGACAAAGTCCCAATTTTATTACACTAATTTCTCACTTTGTAAGAAGCAAATGAACAGTTATTCAAATATCAGTTGAGAAATTGAGTGCAAGTTTTAACCTTAATGATGCATTATGTAAGATTTAGTTAAAGAGCTGACCATCATTGCTACATGTGTGTATGTTAAAGTTAAAAAATGAATGTATTGAAAAATTCAGTCAAATTACTTTATTCTGAGCGAACTAATAAGTCTTTGAAGCTTTGACAATATAATCTCAAATGTTATGTACCATTCTACGATAATAAACAAAGCCTCAATTATCTATTTTTTAAATTAAATGGCGATTAGTTTTTAGTCGTTTAAAATCAGGGACATCCGATGTCCTAGAGAGTTGATTAAGGGCTTGTCATGTGAATAAATCCCTAATTTAATAATTTATATAGCATTTGAAGCCAAAGGAAAGATTTAACTCTCATATCACCGTTAAGGGCGTTAAATGTTCGTTGTTGACAGATGTTTTCGAATTTGGTGTGAAACATCAGGGCCACGAGTGGACAACCGATATCGATATTAAGCGTTCCGCGACCTACCGTTGCAGAGTTATGTCCCATATATAGGGGCCATAGTTTCAAATTTGGCGTGGGGCACTGGGGTCATGGGAGGGAGTAGGAACCCTGTGAACCCTGTGCATATTCCACGTTCCGGGGTTAAACATACACACATACCCTCCATTTTTGAAACTCTTGTGAACGAGATGTGACGCATTGAGGTCATGATATGACGAACCCTATCGATATTCAACTTTCCGTGACCACTCGTTTCGGAATTAACCCCCACCCCGAACTCCCCTCGTTTCCAAGAAAATTGTGAAAGGGCCTTGCAGACGAGTTCTGATCTAATATGTGTCAGATACACACATATCAATTGGCACATTTATTTATTTATCCGCCCAAAATCGATTCTTCGATGATCTTGAAAAGTTATATAACACATACTCCATGTTGAGTGCAGATTGCTCCATTGAATAGATTGTAATCAGCACTTTAAAAAAAGTGCCACCGGTTATGCGGTGGTACATGTCCAAGAAAAGTTGCACATCGAAGGACGATTACCCAGCTATTTCGATACGAACGACTTTACTCTTTGAACTAGGAACTGGTTGCATACGCTTGGTAGTCTTTTTTTCTTGTGGCGACGCCCTTCAAAAAAGTCCAAGGATTCGCCAATTCGAGTACGATCGAGTTGAAACTTAATCGGACAACATTGTGAATCGATTGACGACTTTAATTTTTGATATGGCGTCTTGTTCGGTTCCTTGTTCATATTGTCACCTCGTGCTAGTTTTGAAAAAAAAAGTTATCATTTTACCAAAATACTGAATACACGTTGATCACATTATCCGAAGCAGTATTATAATTGTAACTTCCGTATAGAAGTATAAATAACTTTATTAGGTCTCCACTCAGTAATGTGGTATAAACGATATAGGGGACTTTAAAACTTTTGTTAACTTTTAATTTCTTTAAATGATGTGGAGTCATGGTGGAGTAAAACACTGGCTCACTAACCAGTTAAAGTTGGAGGAAACAGTTCAACGGAATTTCCAGCGGGGTTACCTTTGGCAGTGGTGCAGGACGGACGGTCTGTCACAGAAGAGTCACTCGTAAAAGAACCTTTGGCAGTTAGAATTCGAAATAAGAGTGGGCCGTAGTGCCACTTTGCGAGCAAGATTTCCCACATATCACATTGTATGGCGTTTGCCTGTCTCAATTAGCCAAGTTGGTGCAAAACAGTGGGACGTCAAACCCGATTTCTTTCTCGCTTTAAATGATGAATGAAACTTACACGTGAGTGTTTTATCCTTGATTAACATCTGAAATATAAAAGACTGTGATATAGAAACGTCTTAAATTAATCAAGCGGTGTTTTCCACCAATGTGGCAGTTGATTAATAGTTATGATGCATTATGAATGCGCCAACCAAAACACACTCACAATAGAGTTAATTCACGTCTTCTGTTTTGTGTCAGGTAGGATTAAATATTGAACTTTAGTTAGGTGTGGAGGAAATTGAATAAATAACACTAATCAACCCTTATTTTCAGAAAATATATGATATTATTTGTTCAGTTTTGAGGTTGTGATTCACGAATGCTACGGTCCGCTAAAAGTGCAAGTGGTAGAATATCAGCGACTGTTCATGGTCAACAACATTACTTATTTAATATTACTTACACCGTATTACGGTACGAGAAATATAATAACCAACTGGTCACATATATTGATAATTCATAATACTCCTTGTCAACCAACAAGCTGCTAGAACTTGTAGATGTTAATGAAATTTGGGTTTACATTTTATTTTTCTACTCCAACAAGGCTAATGAAGACGGGCGTACTCCATGAATTGTGCTTTGGGGAACATTTTGTCGGGAGAGCAATTGAATTCCAACCGTCAAGAGTTATTTTACGCGCAAATCAAGGTGTAAGCGGGTCCTCGTTTTTTCAGCCCACCCTAACGACAACACGACCCTCGATCAGTGTACAAGAATAAATGCATGAATAATCTCTTGTCAGGAAAATTTCCAAATCTTCTGTTAGGTGAATATTTTGACAGAGTTCGATGATTTATATTTCTACTACCCGACCGTGTGTCTACCACACCTTTCAGAATATAATTACTCTATTCTAATTGAGGTAGAATGTTTAATCCGGATTTAGATGTTCATTATGGGTTTCGAGATGTAAATAGGTTTAAAGTTATGATAAGAATGAGGGTGAGGGCTAGGGGCTAACCCTAACCCTATCCCACAATCTCGCCAACAATCACGTTTCCTAACCCTATTTACATCTCGTGACCTATGACGAAAACTGCAATCGGTCTTGGCTTTTATCTTTTATCGTTCATTATGGTTATGATTTGACTGAGTTCGATGATAAGTATTTTCTGTTTAGGCTGCTTCTACTTGGCGTAGAATGTTCAAACTTGGTCTAGATGCGTATTTCATTCTTTACAGGCTAAGTAGAGAAAAACAATTTGATTGGCCGAGAGCTTAGAGCGCAATTACCCTGTTTCTAAATCAGGAGGACGTGGTTGGGGTGGGGTTTCGGGGGGGGGGGGGGTCATAGTGACACTGCATTATGACTAGGTTATGCTACGAGTGCTAGATGCCTTAGAAAGTTAGATGTTCAAACATTCTCACCATAAACAGGACATTGTGCCCAATAGACCAATATAACAATCGCTTCTATATGACACCGCGTATAAAAGGTCTTGGGAGGCGGACATCATATCTATTAATAATGATGTGAATTAATCTTTCTTTAGATTATTAGAAAATGATTGAGTCGGAGGCAGCATCTTTTCTACTATTGGTCTTTCTAGAACTTTGCATGATTATCTACTACCATGGAGAAAATACACAAATTGTCGACCTAACATTTACTCTGAATACATCCACCAGGGAACCCGGATTTTAAATTTACCATTCTTAACAGACAAGAGGTTGACAATTATTGGTAAGTAGTGTGCATAATGTGTGACACTACGGGGACAGATGTGACTATTCTGGTTACAGATTCGGCACTAACTTTGACTTCACGTTGTGTATATGATCAATTAATTCTGGAACACTTTGTTGGTTAACTATGTTTTAATATCTTTTAAAGATACATTACGGGAGATTCGATAACGAGTTGGCAGTTTTCACTATAATAATTAAAAACTAGATAACGTAAAGGCAATTTTCTGAAAATTTCATTTAAATTGATCCACTATGAACCGAGAACTAAGCGAATAAAATCTCTGCCTAGCCTCGGTCATCATTACTAAAGTCAGTACGTTAAACAGCATAATCGAGAAGGAAAGTTATGCAGTAAATCGGATCACAATCCACTTAAGATCGCAGGCTAGCGATGCCATCTAGAGTTGATTATGGTCTGGATAAGTTAATTGATGTCTAATTAATAATTTAGATAACATTTCAGGTCTAAAGAAAGACCTGCAATAGGCAGATTTAGCTCTTGCATAATGTATGTTTAACAGCCATAATACAACAGGAAACTACACACACAGCTATGACATCAAATATAAGCTAAATATAAGTTCTCTATCCCCTAGCTTGTGTCATGTGGCGGTGTTTCCCAGCCTCTCAGCATAGGAGGCTGTGGGAACGTCCTTCTGAGAATACGAAATGATGTCTAAAGAATCTTAAACCCCGCACGTTCTTTATATAGAGGATACGTGCATGAGTCATGTACTGAACCCCGGAAAAAGGCCAACTACTTACTTTATCTGATTGGTCAGATGCGCAGAAGCTACCCTGAATTTCAACACGCATGGGAGTGCCATATTTCGATTACCAGACTATGATGCCATTGCCCTATTTTAATTTACCAGACATATCCTTGTTAGCCTAGTTCTCGTTGTCACTGGTTCTAGCTAACGCCTTCAATACATTATATACCAGAGCATCTTTTACAGAACTTAAACAACCTCTACGGTATATAGGACCTATAGTATTACAAATTTTGGTATGTTACGATTCCTTTGTGTTCCACAAAACACAATTATTTTATGCAGAGGACCACACAGATGGTAGTCATAACCAGAATACCGGCGTCTTTCGAGAAGCCATGTTCCCACTTGTTACATGCGACCCTTGTCCGGTTGTAAAAGAAAGGCGTTCCTAGTCGTTAGGATGGGGCGAAAGACCAGCGAGGTTACATTGTCATATTCGTTCTCATCTATGATTTAAAGCCAAGTCGCCAAAGATAGAAAGTTTCTAGCTGGTGGATTAGACTCTTAAATTTTAGTTTATTATGTGAATATTGTTATACAACAGATTTTGCTCTAACAGATTAAAGTTAATTGTTTATTTTTATGTATGAGGATAATTATTTTTCAACTGCAGAACATGGTGGAAGATATTTAGATGCACCGGCTCATTTTTAAAAGGTACGTGACGAACCCACGAGATTCCAGTTGAAAGACTAGTCGGCCCCGGTATTATTTTGACGTTACATCATAAGGCGACAGCTGACCACAATTATACGGTACAGATTTCGTATATAGAGGTTTGGGAATCCAAATATGGAAATAACATACCGCAAGGAGCAATTGTATTGACGAATTCTCGTTGGACAAAACGGTATCCTAATAAGAATCAAGTGTTCAATTCACGAAATTTCACAAATCCCGAGACCTTTTATTTTCAAGCATTTCAAGAAGAGGCTGTTGAATGGCTTATTTAACACAGAAATACAACACTTTTATTGCCATAGGTATCATTAATGTTGTTCTATTGCTATTAATATTCAGGTTTTGTAGACTCCTATCCCAAACAGGTATATATGATGTTAAGGAAGCTCGACACTGCAGGTAGGGTAACCTGGGCAACTAGGATTAGGCTACTATTGAGCTCAATCGGTTTCGCATATGTTTGGTTC